GCTCCACCCTCGCGGGGGCGTGGCGCGGCCCCTGCGAGCCGGACGCGCGGGCCGCCAGCGCGGCCACAGCAGCCAGGCGCGCGACGGGCGTTCGCGGCCGGCTCGGCGCCCGCCCCCCGCCACCGACGCAGTGTGGGAGCTCACTTTAATGCTGCGCGGAGCCCCGGCGCCAGGGGGCGCCTCGCTCCCCGCCCCCTCCCCATCCCATCGGGGCTCTTGGACTGGGGGACCCCCGCCCAATGACCTGGCTTTGTGTGGTGGCCCCGTCACCACTGCTGTCCCCCGCACGTCACAAATCCGAGGAGAGGCCGGCCGGCCGCCCCCAAGTCCCAGAGCCAGTCTCCCCTGGAGCTGGTCTGCCGCGGCGCCCACCTGACTCTTCTCGGAACCTGGAGTGCCGCCCTCGGGGTGTTTGGGAGGAAACAGGCCGGTTCCCAGCCCCTTGATCCGCTGGACGCCCGCACTCTGACAGTGTTTGGATTTTCTTTTTTAACAGCGGAGTTCCCCTTTCCAACCTGACTCCCTAACTAGCCGGCTGGCCTGTCCTCTGCAGAACCTCTGCTGCCCTTAATTTCTTAAAGGCTTTAAGCTGTTTTCCCAACTTGTATTTGTTTATTTCTTCATTTTGATGTCCAAAGACTGATCAAAGCTGTTCGTAGTGCCCAGCAGGGGTTAGCCCAGCGATGTGAGGTACCCAGAAGTTCAAAGGAATATAGGGCAGGGCCCAGAGGAAGGCTGGTTCTGGTGGCCATGCCTCTGGTACCACCGGAGGTCTTCACTGCCTGACTCGAGGCCTTGGGAGTGAGTTTTAGACTCCCTGCGTCGTGTTTCTGGACTACTGTGGGAAGGCACCAGTGTCAAGCAGAGCCCAAGGTTCAGATGCTTAGTCCCATGGAGCCCTTTGTTTCTGGAGCGGCAAGTTGGAGGCAAGTCTTCCCGTCCCTGTCCCTGCCTCACCCCCAGCTGCCCCCTGGATATCCTCCTTATCAGATTCCAATCGCAGCTCCATTCCTTGTTTGGGGGGCAGGATTTCCTGACCCTGGGTGCTGCTTTGAGCACCTGGGGTCTGTTCTAAACCCGCTGAAGCCAGGAGGTAGGTGAAGGAAAACTGGGACAGCTCTGGTTGTTGGGATTTAGAAACAATTTACTCAAGCAACCATAAACCCCTGGCCTACTCCTGTCAACTCCTCAAGCTGGCTTTGTATTACTCTTTGGCTGCCCTTGATGGTCACCAGAACCGGATTTCACTTGGAGGGAGAGATTGGATTAGGGTGGCCAGAGAACACACTGTGATTTGCCCCGGGCCTGGCATTCCTGGGAGTCAGCCTTGGGCCAAGGAGTGAATAGCAGGGTTGATGATGGAGGTGACCTTGGCAAACCTTCCCTCCTCTCTCTTTTCTTCCCAGTCCTTTGCCAACTCCACCCCCAAGTTGCAGAACACTAGGACACTAAGTGAAGAGGAAATCACTGCTTGTTTCTTTGCCGGGGTCACCAGTGTATTTGTGGGCATGAGGAGTGTGGGGAGGAACACAGTCTTCTTGGGTCACATTTGTAACAAGTGTTTCTCAACACTATGAAATACTTCTGATTGCAGTAGCCAGAAAGACCCAGGAATCCTTATAATTATCTCTTAGTTCTTTCCCAGGAACCTTTGGCATAGCAGGTTGTCTGGAGTAAGGGACTTACCTCCACGGGATACATCTTGTCTTAGGTTATGCACTTTCCTTTCACAAATTAACTTCTCTGTGGGACTCTTATGCCCTCTCTGAGCCAAAACAGGAAGCAGATGAATTAGCTCATCTCATCTATGGAATTCAGAAAAGATTATCCACATATTGGTTAAGAATAGACTTACAGGGCAATTTGAGGCCTTTAAGGCCCTGGTTCTGCACCCGTGAAAAGTAGAAGGGACTCTCAGTAAACTCAGTGGCATAGCAGTCCAGGTACTATACAATAGAGTACTGGTTCTTTTTTATATAAAGAGATGCCAAAGAAAGCACAGCACATATCTAGAATTGTGAAACACATAATCTCCTGACCTCTCGAAGATAAAATAGAATTTCAGTTTTGTACCCTAAGGAAACTGACAATGGTTATTTTATTGCTATTATTGTTATTGATATTGTTATACTTGGAGCATTCAGAAGTTGGTTTTATTTATGGCCTGGGGTCCTAAACAAATGCATTCCTGCCCACTGGAATTTTTGACCGGGAGGGTAGGAGTGTTACAAGGTCTGAGACCAGATGTGAAGACCACTTCTCTTTAAGGCTTTGGGTTTTTAGTTTTACTCCTTCTTTAGCACCTTGTTTTAGATGCATTGTGTAAGTTTAAGTAAAGGTTTAGGTGGGTCATTCTGAACCTTAATGATTTTAGCTCCAGTAGACTATTAGTAGAATTGTTTTGACCACAAGAGGGCTTCAACCTAATGCTTGCTTTACATACAAAGGTATTGATAAATCAATATCCTAAGTTTCTTAGTTCTAGGGTGTTTCAAAATGTTCAGTGGAGCTTTGGAGATATGGCTGTGGGGCTATTTCCCATTCTAGTTTTACTTGCATATTAAATGCCCTATTTCTGGTTTAAGGTAATACACAAGAAAAGAGCCAGATCACATCCAATTCGGGATCTACTCTTAAATGCCATCTCTAGATAATTAAAGGGCCTAGCCCTGAAGTCTCCATCAGACTTCTACTCTCTTGATGAAGAACTAAATCAGAGCACATTTTGCTTTCACAGAAAAGTTTCCTGTGTAATTTGTGGCCCTTTAAGTCACTCCTGGGAATCTTCCCATTCTGCCTTTTTCATTGAGTGTTTCACATCTGAGGCTCCTACTAGCATTATAAACTACTTGTTATGTATCTCACTGCTCCAGATTATATGTCCCTAAAACAATTCTAAATTCCTCTGCAATATTCTATCTTGTCTAGGCCTTGAAGTCTTTGACAATGGCTTTTAGCTGGAAATGAAACCAGGGCTTAAATCTACCAAAGATATTTTTAATTTAGAAAGAAATTTCCATTCGAGTGAAGTGAGCTTTAGGGCACCTGGCCAACCAGGGGGAAAGGGGAATGGGCCAATGGGAGAGAGAAGGGCAGAGGAAGATGGAGGAGCATGGGATGGAGGAAGGGGAATAGTAAGTTTGAGCTGTGACATTGGGGGTTGGGGGGGGCTAAAAGATAGTTTTAAATTGTTCACCTTTTCATTTTGTTTTGGCCAAGGAATCTGCTAAGGAAATATATTTGGGGATCTGCTTTCTTTTGGATGCTTTCTCATGCTAATAAAAAATAAAGACCATTAGATGTTTGGAATTGTGTTCCCTTTTCATCCTAAAGCATTTCTTAAGTGAATATTTTGCCCATATTAGAAGTTCCTCGTAGTGGCCACTGTAACTCTAAATGACCCATGCTGAAATGATGCCATGTAGAAAGATAAGCAAACACATTTGGGTCACAACATAAATTACATATAATAAACAGAAGTCTGGCCCAATGAGGTGACAGACTTGAGGCTCATATTGAGACAAACACGTCTGAGTCTACAAGTGGTGAGTCAAGAGCCGCTTGTGCATGCTGTAGCTCAGAGTTCCCAGCCTCATACTAGACCTTTTCTAGAGTCCTGATGAATTTATAGTTCCCAGCATATGGAGGGTTTGCAGAGATCTCTCCAGAGCCAAACTCACAGACAAAGTAAGATAAGTCTGAGGAAAATTCTCGTGAAGTTTTGATCAGGGACAAAGTGTCTCTGGGCCAGCTTAGGGACAGAATTACTGAGACCTACACTTGTCCTCTTCACTAAACAGATGCACAGCAAAAAATGACGAAGATGGATGTACACAAGTAGTACTGTCAGTAATAAGACAGAGTTCCACCAGGGAGAATATATTTTAAAATATGGTCAAGGATTTCTAAAGGGGGTTACCTAATTGCTCAGAGACAAAGTAGACTTGGTATTGGGGGCAATAAAATAAAAAGAAAAAATTTAAAAAGTTAATTGGAGCTTGGGCTCAATGTAAGTCTTAACATCTTTGTGGTTTCAGTCTGAAAGACTCCCCCGGAAGCTCAAGGCCTCTGAGGACCACATCACCTTGGAGTCAGGGGCTTGGGGCTGCAATGGCGAGATCTCAGCTAAATCACAGTGGGCCTCAATGATTGAATGCACCCTGAAAATGCTACCAAGCTGACTTTGTGCTAAGGCAAAGCTGAGTGTGTTCTCATCACAGGAAGGGAAGAGTCATAGCAGTATCTAGCATGGGGGGGAATATTTATGAAGGGTTGGGGCCTATTTTCTTTTTTTTTTTTTGAGAGAGAGTCTCAAGCTGTCACCCTGGGTAGAGTGCTATGGAGTCACAGCTCACAGCAACCT